TTWTRTKTTWTAYAYATATAWAAAAAACAATAATAATGAAGTTRAAGGCCTAGCATTCCTTGAAGAAAGGCATACTGACTAAGGATGGGGCCGATCTGGTCCAGTATCTGCATCGGGTTCTGATACCAACATATTTAATTGATTGGAACATTCCGATCCAACATGGGAAGATTTCTGATCTATGAGTGTCTCTGTGCTATAATGTCGGCTGAAATTACTCCAATTTTAGTGTGTTTGATTCAAAACAATGAGGTGATTTTTGAATGTAAAACTACAGCTTCTGTTTAAGGTGGACAAAAACATCATAGCCTCCCTTCCTCTTTCAGATGCAGGTAATAAAAAGTAAGTTTTTTTTAGCTTGTCACATATTCCTCCAATATCAAAAACCGTTGTGGTTTTGTTTCTGTATAAAGTTGGATTTTCTAGCCTTGTAGCAACAATGTTTCCAGAGATGTAGTTAGTTTCCTAGTTTATGTTTATCAATCTCTTTTTCCCAAATTCCCTCGTACAGAGAAGTTGTAAATTCATGAATAAACCATAAACATGAGGAAGGTGGGCTGAGTGGGCAGATATAAGGGAGTGGGACCAGAGGCAGGCAAAGTGGAGGACTGTGAAGTCAAGTCAAATCCAATTTGTTTGAAAGGTCTACAGCAGGAATCAGGTTAGCCACAAATTGCTTTAGAGACTAAACAAACAGACGGAGAACACCGGAGACAGGGAAAGATAGGAGGAGAAGGGATGGGGGAMTTTGGAGAGACAGAGGGGTGGACAGTTTGCTTACTCTGGGGATGGCGGCATTCTGAGGCAGTTTATGCCTTGGCTTCTTCTTCCTCACCTCTTCGTCTTCATCATAAAAATACTGAAAGAAACAGGGGGAGTGGCATTGAGTGAAATAAAAAAGTAAGTGAACTCAAAGGAGAAAGGTTATCAAATCTGGATTTTAAAGCTTTAACACCAATTAGTTATAAAAAGACAAAGYTTCTAACAACACAAACCAATGCCCCTTCTTTCTAGACTATGACCCTACTATATTGTCAAAAAATAAGCCAGAACATGGAYGGTTCTTTGAAGGTCATAGTGAATTCTTCAGGGGTGTATTTAAAACTCTTTGGGCTCCCCATTATATGTGATAGAGCATGAAGGATCCACGATACATACCCATAYGTWCCCAGTAAGGATGCGTGATATMTCGGCATTAATATYGGTATYGGCCGATATTGGTCATTTTTTAGAATATCGGTATCGGTCCAATATGTAAAACTGGGYYGATATTACCATCCGATATTGATTTCCCACCTTTTAGCTTTAGTTTCTGTTTTGGAGGGGAGGTGRYTGGTTGAACAGCATCTGTTTGATCATGATAGTGATATTGATGCTGCRCAGCCAGGAATAACTGAAGTAGAGCCATGTCAGAGGTCTGGTYSTTTATTTATGGTATCAWAAAAAGACYMAAGTGTRTTTGTGCGTATATGTATAATWTAATTTGTGTGTTTGTGTMATATCAGTAAATATCGGTTATMGGCCATAACAGCAATAAYTATATCGATATCGGCTGAAATTTTCAYATCGTTRCATCCCTAGTTCCCAGACTTTTCCGTTTTTTACCCACAAAACAAAAGTTACAGAAACTTGTGACCACAAATACTGCTGGYTGAAGTATGCAGTCATTGCAATATGTTATAAGTAGGTGTGCAACAATACATGTATCTGCATCAAACCGTTCAATACAGTGCTTTAGGTTCAACACAAACTCGTATCGAACAATACATATTTTTAAATTTTGTTTTATTGTCTTGTCTTCTGAATATGCTCTGTGTTGAAGGATCAGTGGATCTGCATTCGACTACTCCTCCTAGTCTGTAYAGATCCACTGAGAAACYTRCTGTTTCAGCAACATTTAATTGAAAAACTGTACTTTTGAGGTTAAATAAATGTTCATAATTAATTTCAATAAATTACATGTTAAGATGGGCATGGACATTTCTCTTTTTTGTATCGAAAAAATATCGAACCACGAGACTAAAGTATCGAACCGAACAGTGAATGTTCTGTATCGTTGCACCCCTAATTTTAAGTAATTTAAGCATGACCTACATTTAAAATAATTAAAATAAAATAAAATAAAATGACAGATATATACATGGAAGTTTTGTAAATATAGTGAATTTTCAGGGATGCCTCCTGAACTTTTCCCATACTGAATCAAATTGTCCTTTAGTACCAAATATGACAGACTCAACTACAGCTGCAAGGATCCTCTTGGTATAATCTGACCAAARCTCATTCAACCAATATGTGTCCAGTCTCCTGCAATGTTCTCACGTTTAACCTTATATATTTGACCTGCAGAGAAATCTGTCTTTATTCCTTTAGATGACACCCATACAGGTTAATATCTAAAACTAAATTATATAAAAACCTGTGTTATCCATTGAGTTGAAAGCATTGATTATATTTTTTCTCTACTCCCCATGAATTTTTTTCACTGCATCATTGTCCCATCCTTTATTTACTCCTCCTTCGGCTGACTCTCTCTACCYTTTTTAAATCTTTGCAATCTGCTCCTCAAAGCCTCCCTACTTCCATCTCATCTCCCCMAGTTGCCTGTTTGCTCTTTTCAATCTCTTGCACTGATGGGCGCCAACCCCCTCCCCCTCCCCCACATTCTCAGTTGGCCGGGAACGTTCCCTCTGATGATCCCGGTAAGAAAAATAACACAATAGAAAACAGAAATGTTTAACTGCTGTTTGCAGCAGTTTGTAACTATTTTAACAGAAATCAAAACAAGTCACTGCTACAGATTAAATAAATTTCTTTACAGCAAAAAACAAAAGCATCAGAAGAGCAGAGTAGCCATAATATTTGTTTGAATCTAAACCAACCTGTCCATGAATGGGATCGTCACTGCCCTCCTGTTCGGACGAGTCGCTCTCTTCCTCTTCTTCAGAGTAGTTGTCAATGTCCGGAGAACGATCTGAAAAGAACGACAGAAAGAACATTTAAAAAGCTGTGAAAGGTAGAAAAAAAAGACAACATAACATTAAAATAAATGTGCTTATTCTTCTGTAAAAACTGAGATTCAGAAATATTTTTAAGTTCAAAACTTAGATTTTCAGAGCTGGTTAAAATCAGGTACAACAATGCCAAAGGATATGCAACTAATCTTATAAATTAAGTCCAGATTCTTCATATAATCAAATAAAACACATTGCTGTTGTTTATGTATCTTAACTTTAAACATTCAGATCAGAAAAAGGAATAAGATWTACAATTTCCATGATTTAATTTTTTGCCCACATTGTTTTTTCCAATCTGACAGCAAATAAAAAAATAAAATTTCACACTTCTTTACGACTTCGCCGGAAGTCTGTAAACTGATGAGCATACCAGACATCTTTGCTTTGGGCCCCTCGTGGTCAATGGGCTGGCTGGACAGAGAGTAGACTCTGATTTCAGCGACGGGGACCGAGGCGTCTTTCACCTGGCTGTGGAGCCCCAGGACCTGGGCGCCCTCACTGGGGTGCTGCATCACCTGTAGGGTGACAACAGAGCYTTCAGCTTCAGCTTCACTGGAAGCAGAAAATAAATAATTTTCCATCATTCTGCTTGTGAAAACTTTATTTTTATCCAGTCCAAAACTAAAATAATGTGATGCCATTTTTATAGTCCCACACTGAAAAGCATTAGGTGGAGGGCACTGTTTCTGTCCATGTCTGTGCGTGTGTCTGTCTGTTGATAAAATATCTCATGAACCAATGGACAGACTTCATTGAAACTCTGAGAAAGTAAAAATTGGATGAGAACCATTTGGTGTTATCCCGATTCAAGATAGCCTCCACCGCTAATTGACCTGAAACAAAAAATCGATACAACCCCAATTCCAGTGAAGTTGAGACATTGGGCCTCATGCAAGAACATGTTCGTATTCTTATCCTAAATTTCTCTTACTTTTGTTCGTACGAAGGGTTCGTACGACCATGCCACGTCAGATTCAACAAACTCTTCTATCTTCAGGAAAAGTGTGTAAATGAGCTG